TGACAGTGACGCGTTCCCCCAGGGCCTGCCTCCACCACCCTTCCAAACGTTTCCCTCTGGGGGCAGCTTCTCAGGAAGACTTCCTCAGCCCCCAGGGCTGCCCACAATACAGTGGCTAGCACATACGTTCAGCAGGTATGCTTCCTCCATTCTACTCTGTTCCGTTCCGTTCCATGACCAGGGGGCTTTTGCAAGAGCCAAGCAGCTGGGGAGGTGGAGCGTGGGGTGGGGGGTGAGCCAGCCCCGCCTGCTGGCTGCCTCTCCCAGAGGCCCACGGCACCCACACCAGCGACTTTTACAGCCCAGCTGGACTCTGAAAGGGGAGTTTCCCCAGACCTTCCTCCTAGGCCTCTTTCTGGTCACTGTGCCCACCACCCTCCACCTGGGCCTCGAGGGAAACCTCCCCTGCCCATCTTTCCCTTCTTCCCATCATGCTCTGGTTCGCAGCGTGCTCGAGAACGGACCCACCCATGGTTCCTGGAAGCCAGCAGAGAGAGGCTGATGCATTCATACTGCTCCGTGAAGTCTGGGAACGTCACAGGGGAATGCCTGAGTGCAGCCCTCCCAGTGGCCTGTTGGCAGGTCTGGCTCACTTTCTGAGCTGTTAGCCAAGAATCTCTCTTCTAGGCTCCCTGTCAGCTAGCATAACAGATACTCTCCTGGGCCCCAGCCCCCTCAAATGGAACCAAGAGAAATGAAGCCCAAGGCCTCTTTCTACCCAAGGTACATTGTCCCAGTGACTGATACTGGCAATGATCATTCGTGAACATCCACCCCTTGCCCACAGCAGGGCCACCTCCCTCCCAGCCCCTCTTGGAAAGGTCTCCAGGACCACCGTGACTTCATCCCTCACAACAGCCACAACATTCACCCCTGCCACCCACACGGGCTGCCTGGGAGAGGCTTACTCGGGAGCACTTACCATCACGTGGCACTGTAACGGTCTGTCCCGACTTCTTCTGGATCCCCAGGGCAAAGAGAGGGTTCGTCCACCTTCCCAGTACTTCCAGGCTGTGTGACTGTGGGTAAGTCCCTGAGCCTCTTCTGAGCCTCTTTACATAGCTAGAGTTTGCTCACAGCTAGCAAACTACTGGCCCAGAGGTCCCATCTAGGTTGTGGAAATGTTGTTTACGGCTCATTCAGTGCTCAACTTTGTTTTAAAAGTAGTTTCCAACATTTAAAACTTGGGAGATTTGGGGTGCCTGGGTGGCTCAGTCGGTTGAGCGTCCAGCTTCGGCTCAGGTCGTGATCTCACTGCTCGTGGGTTCGAGCCCCACGTTGAGCTCTGTGCTGACAGCTCAGAGCCTGGAGCCTGCTTCAGATTCTGTGTCTCCCTCTCTCTCTGCCCCTCCCCTGCTTGTGCTCTGTCTCTCTCTCTCTCTCTGTCTCTGTCTCTGTCTCTCTCTCTCAAAAGTAAATAAACATTAAAAAAAATATTAAAACTTGGGAGATTTTATGGGGCACCTGGGTGGCTCAATCAGTTAAGTGTCCGACTGCGGCTCAGGTCATGATCTCACGGTTCGTGAGTTTCAGCCCCACGTTGGCTCTGTGCTGACAGCTTAAATCCTGGAGCTGCTTTGGATTCCGTGTCTCTGTCTCTCTCTCTGCCCCATCCCCTGCTCACGCTCTCTCTCTCTCTCTCTCTCAAAAATAAACATTAAAAAAGTTTTTTTTAATTGGGAGATTTCCACAAAACCTAATGTTTTCAGCTTTTATTGAAAAATGAGAAGACCCGGCTATACTGGGTTCATGGTCTCACATACACAATTGGCTGGCCTGGGCAGCAGCTGCCCCTTTAAGTGGGGTGTTTGGACACAGCGCCACCTCCCCTCTCTCCCTAGAGCCTGCCCAGTATGCTTTGACTCTTTACTTGTGTATGTCACTGCCTGCCCCCCACCCCCATAGGCATCTGAATTCGCCACCCCTGAATGTCAGCATGACAGGACTGTTCTTTGGCTCTATGATGCCTAAAGGGATCCTTCAGGATCCCTAGGTGACAAAAACCATTAACACCCTGGATGAGAAGCCACTTTGGCTGAGTGGAGAGAAACTGCTGTTTCTGAGGATGACACAGAGTCTATAAATAGCCTCAGAGCCAGGTGAGTGCTGACACTTGCCCAATGTCACCTGCGCTGGGAGTCCTCGAGGGCTGGGCATGTTTCAGTTCACGGCTCAGCTCAGGCACTGTCCCTCCTCCTGATGCCACTGAGGGCGGTACGAGGAGGGACGACTTCACAGCTGAGCCCGTGGAGAAGGTGGAGGTTTTCCCTGGCGTGGGTAGGAGGTAGTGAGGACATCTGATTTTCCAAAGAGAGTAGAGGAACATGAGTGGACAGGGCTGGTTCTCAGTCTGGGGTCCTATAGATGGGGACACGGGACCATCAATGGTTCCCCAGTGCTATCCAACACTGTTAGAGCTCAGCCTGGCCTTCAGGACCCTCTGTGATTGCCCGCCAACCCTACCCCCGCCTTTCAGTTTATGGTCCATATTGTAGCCTTTCCTTGAAGGTACCCAGCCTGGCTCTGGCTCATTCCCCTTCTAGAATCTCCTTTCCACATCTTTGTGTGTCTGCCCCTCAGAGGTGGTTGTCTCTGGACCGATCCCCCAGGGAGAAACCATTTGCCCTGTCCCTTGAGCTTCCACAGACTTCTGGCGAACTCCTCAGCCCCCCTCTTGCTGTGTTGTCTGTCCCAAGCTTGTCTCTCTTGCCCTCCCCACCCCATGACCAGCTCCTGAATGGCAGCGAGAAGGATCTGACCCATGCAACAAACCCCGGCCCTGGGGTCAGACAGATTCATCATCGTTCCAACACCGCACTCCCGGGAAATTCACTCTCCTATCTCTTGCAACCCATCTCTGAAATGGAACCGCCTCCCAGGCTGCAGTGGGGTGCAGACAAACTAGGGGCTGGGGAAGGGCTCTGAGGACAAAGTGTCTGAGTGAACGAAGGCAGCTCTCCCCTGCGTGAGGGCTGCTCGTGCTTCGCTGGGGGATAAACAGAGACCCTCCAAGAGCAGGCTTGAGGGACAACAGGGTACCACTAACCCACCTGGCATGGCTAAGGGCTGTGCGAGCTGAGCACCTGTCACTGCCATGCAGGCTGATTCCTCCCTCCTCGTTGCGGTCTACAGTATGCACCAATACAGGGGGGTCCTGGGAGATTGCTGAGGGCCCGGACGGGGCAGGTGGCAACCTGGCTCCCTGCTCAGGCCTGTTCTGCTTCAGGGCACGAGCACCATGAGAAAGGAGGAGCCATTCCCCAGGACACAGGGAGGCTCCATCTTGAGCTGGCACCCGGGGAGCATCTGGGCTCCCAGACCCAGCTGGGGTATCATTGAATGACCCGGCTCCTCCTGGGCCAGGAGTAGAGAAGGGGACTATGAACTTCCAGAAAAGGGCTGAGCCACAATTTTAATGAGCCTAGGACACTCTGCTCTAACCTCGTGAATTTACTTGGGCCAGCATTTTGCTGCCTGACCCCTTCTCAGGAGCCGATTCGGGTCTCAGTTCAAGTCCACCTGACTCCAACGTTCAGCCCCTACCCTCCTCTGGGGCTCCTTGGACCTCTGAGCCCCTGCAGCTGAGACCCACTGCTGTCTGAGCCCTAAACCCGAAGCAAAGACTAGAGTCCAACTATCACTGATGCTCATGGCACAATGCTTAACAGTTGACACATTCCTCTCTCTCTTGTTCATTTTCCTCTTGAAACAGACCTGGAAACAAGCAGGGTAAGGATTACCATCATATCCTTATTCTCCAGAGGGGAAACTGAGGCTCAGAGAGGTCCGAGAAGACTGGCACAGGCTGGCAGTGGAGGATCCAGGGTGCTCCTAGACCCGGGCAGTGCCTTCCCCCATCTGGGTCCTTGTTTTCCATTTGGAGAGTGAAGATGTTAGCCGAGATGCTCCCCCAGGGCCCCTATTATTTACTTACCGTGGTCCTCCCATACCTACCAGGCTTTTTTTTTTACATTTTTTTTTTAACCTTTATTTATTTTTGAGACAGAGAGAGACAGAGCATGAACAGGGGAGGGTCAGAGAGAGAGGGAGACACAGAATCGGAAACAGGCTCCAGGCTCTGAGCCATCAGCACAGAGCCCGACGCGGGGCTTGAACTCACGAACCGCGAGATCATGACCTGAGCCGAAGTCGGACGCTTAACCGACTGAGCCACCCAGGCGCCCCCCTACCAGGCTTTTAAGAAGCCCCCCTCAACATGTGGGGTAAATCCTTCCAGGCGGTAGTGCTCACTTCCCCTCCTCTTCTGTCTTGCCTTTTCACTCACTCATCCTTGCATTACCTATGGAATGGCCCCCATACTATGTTACCTGCAGGCGTGCTCTTAGCATGACTGGGGGAGCAAGGAAGCCAGCAGCCAGCTGCTCTAGTTATTGGAGACCAGACCTGTCAGTCTATGGGGCTGAAGGGACGGTAGTCAGACCCAGTCCTGGTGGAGGGCTGGGACCTGGCCAGACCCTTCGAGTTCCAGTCGTATGGGAAGAGGATCCGATGTATAGAAGCATCTGGAGACAGGGCCAGGCTAGGACCAGGAGGCCTGTGGTCACCACCGGAGGTGTCTCTGCCTGCGTCCTCCTGCCATCTTTCACTCTAATACACCTCTCATCTCCACCTTCTTTATCTCTCACCCACCGTCTCTCTTGGTCTCTGTCTGCAGGGTCTGTGGGTGGAGGGGCGCCTATACAAAGGGCGAATGTAGCCTTTTGTTATATTCAAATAAAAACACACGAGGCTCATCTTTTGGAGCTAACCACGTTTCACCATATTTTCCCTCTCTCTTTTGTCATACTGTTGGAACTCTTACAAAATGGAACCGACCCCCTTTTGCTGGGTCGTGTCTGTCCCTCAGGTCTCTGACACCGTGGGGGACGCGTTAAGAGCAGCTCACTGGCTGCGCTGACCGCTGGGGCCGGCAGGGGTCGCCCGCGGACAGGCCCGGAGGGGCGGGTGGGGGCGGGGCCGCGAGGCGGGCCCGGCAGATAAAGGCGGCGGCGGGCAGCCCCGGCTGACTCGGCCCCCTGGGCGCGCGTGACTGTCGCAGTTACGGTCTCCGCGGGTACCGCCGCTCTCCCACCCCGACCTGCGGCCGCGATGCTGGCTCTACGCTGCGGTCCCCGCCTGCTCGGCCTGCTCCGGGTCCCGCGCTCCGCGCCGCTGCGCCTCCCCGCGGCCCGCGCCTGCAGCGGCGCCGGCGACCCGTCCCCTTCCTCCCGGAACCCGCTCGTGTACCTGGACGTGGGCGCCGACGGGGAGCCGCTCGGCCGCGTGGTGCTGGAGGTGAGAGCACCAGGCCGGGCCGCGCCGGACTGGGCGTCCGGGATGGTCCCGGAGAGCGCTGGACTTCGGCCCGGCTCCGTGCCTGACTCGCTGGGTGACCTTGCCCCCTACACCCGGGCTCTGGGCCTCAGTTTCCCCATCCCTAGCAAGGCGCATCAGATTGGTCTCTTCCGGTCTCCCCTCGGAGGCGGAAGTGGGGGGCACGTGTGGAGGTGAAAGCTCAAGGTCAGGTGGTAGACTGGGAGAGTCGGGCCCTGCTGGCTCGTCCTGGGGTAGGGGAGAGGTCCTGAGGCTTCGCGTGGTCAGCTCCCAGATCCGAAGTTCAGACGGGGGTGCGGGGGGTGCTCCGGGGACGGGGCTGCGGGCGGGCCGGGTGCTCACGTGGCTGCCCTTGCTTAACGCGTAGCTGGCCCGCTGCCCCGCCCCCTCGGTGGGGCTCGCCCCCTGCGGAGCGCCGGGGAGGGAGCCGAGGTGGTTTCCGGGCGGCCCGCCTCCTCTCGTGCGGGGCGGGCCTTAGGCCACCAGGCTGACCCAGGATGTCCTTCCTGCAAGTCGGGGTCAGTGTGCCCAGGGCCCTTCACCCCAGTTCCAACCCCGCCATCCTCCCGAGGGTGGCACTCCTGTCCTGCCCCTGACTCACAAAGAAACAAATAGCGGGGTAGGTAACAGCGGAAGCTCAGGTGTAGCTCAAGCCCGACCCCGTTTTGAACCCAGAGGCTCTCGTTAAGCCTCAGTTTCCTCTTCTGGAAAATGGAGAGCACCCTCCTTGCTCCCATTTATTTTAATGGGGTGGCGCCAGGGTGGCTCTTGAGGCTGGGAGGCAAGAGGTGGGCTTGGATGGGGCTCTAGCCTACCCTTACCCACCGTCCCGCCCCCCTGCCTCTCTAAGGGGCTGGGTTGGCCCCTCTCTGGGCCTGAGGCTTTGATGCTTGGGGCCCAACTGCAGTAGCTCTGCCAGTTCTGCCCCTGGAAGTAGGCCAGGATGGCATCGTCAGCTCTTATAGATTAGGAAACGGAGGCTGCTTCCTCCCGGTTGGGGTTCAGGAAGCAGCTGGCAGAAATGATAGCTGCCTCGGCTGCCTCTTGTGGAGGGCTGGGAGCAAAAGGAATGGAGTGGCCCATGGTGCCCTCTCTGACTCCTTAGCCACTGTGGGAGATGGGTGGAGAGGAGGTTCCTTCTGTCACCTGCCTCTGGACTGACCACCTTCTCTTGTCCCTCTTCTCTCCCCACAGCTGAAGGCAGATGTCGTCCCGAAGACAGCAGGTAAGATGGGGCTGGGGGTCTTCTGAGTCTGGTCTAGGAGGAGGGAGGGGCCCAGGTGGGTGGGATGGTGAGAGAAGTTGGGGCACAGAGACCTCTGACCAGATGGGAGTTCCACAGGAGGCTCAGCTGCTGTGTATCCTGGGCCAGCTTTCTGTCCCTCTCTGAGCCTCAGTGTTAGCCCTGCCCACCTGTCCACTGTAGCCTCAGAATCAGTAGAAGGCACAGGTCAACTTCCTCTGGGACAGCTTTCTCCCTCCTGGTGGCCAGGGGGACAGGGTAGTGGCTCCATGGCCCGGGGACTCCCTGCCAGGAGCGTGTGCTCTTGTCACAGGGCTCAGACACTGAGCTTCGAGAAGGAGATGATTTGCCCTGGGTTACACAGCCAGAACAGACTTAGGCGTCCCGGGGTCTTTCCACACCCTGCTCACCTCCTGGGGCAGGAGCGGGGATTTGAAGAGGCACAGGCTAGAATGAGCTGTGGCCCTGCAGTTGAGGCCCGGCTCTTGACTTGCTGTTCCTTCAACCCTCAGAGAACTTCAGAGCCCTGTGTACCGGGGAGAAGGGCTTCGGCTACAAAGGCTCCACCTTTCACAGAGTGATTCCGTCCTTCATGTGCCAGGTATGGTGGCCCTGCCTCAGCTCCTCTTTTGTCAGCGGGGGGTGGTAATGGGTCGCCTCGTAGGGTGGTCTCGAGGATTAATGAGGGAGCACCTGCCTGGTGTGTGGAGATACCCAATGGAGAGCGACGAATGACTCTGTCGGCCTGTCTTCTCACCCTGACACAGCAGAGCCTGTCTGGGCTGCCACAGCCCTTCCCTGCCCCGGCAGTGGAGCCACAGGGCAAGAGGCAGGATGGCCTGGCTGGCAGAGCCTGTTGGGGGTGGAGGTGGGGAACCAGCATTGAGGTCCGGATATGCATGGGGGACAGGGGCAGGTAGATCTTCAGGCCTTGGAGGACCAGCGTATTCAGACAGTCTCTGACTGTGTCCCCTTGAGCACTTGGCATAGGAGAGGAGGAGGGAGAAGACAAGAACACACAGGTCTGGACTTGGAGCTTCTCTTTCTGGAGAAGGGCGTCTTTCTCGGTCAGATGAGTGTTCATTAGTCACCTGTGCCGCCTGTTTTTCAAAAATACCAGTATTGGCTGTATCAGAGGTTTGGGGACAGGTGTGGACAGCAGGAACCTCCCCAGGGGTCCTCTGTTCGGTCAGACCCTGCCAAGACAGGGGTTGATGTGTTGAGGCCAGCAGACCATAGAGGCAGGGGCATGAATGTCATGACCTCTTTGAAGCCCTTCCAGCCCAGAATTCTCTCCCCCGTTCCCTCCACTCCGACCTGGGGCTGTCATCATCTTGTGGCGAGTGGCGGTGGGTTGGGACTGGGCCTGCTGACGTGTTCAATGTGGCGATTGCAGGGATGGGCAGGGAGGCTGCGGCTGGGGGACAGGTCTGGCCAAGCCTGTGGCTTTCTGCTGCAGAGGCTTTCCCAGCTCTGCCTGCGGCGGGCTGTGGATGAAGCGGGAGCTGACGTGGAGGTCCTAAGCCAGGCTGGGCTCTTCCTCTGAAGAGCAGCGGGCAGGGGCAGGGACTTGCAAGGCCGGAAGACTCTCTGAGGCATGAGTTGGGGGCACCGGAAGCTCAAGCCGGGGTTTTGAATCATCCCTCTCTGGGGACACCCTGCTGCCGTTTGTGGATGCTTAGGTCAGGCCGCTCAGGTTATCCCTCTCACCTGAGGATCAGATCTCGAGAAGATAGAGATGTTGGCAGGGAGCCGGGGCTGGGGCTGGCAGCTCTTCTGTGAAGCCTCAGGCAAGCTGTGAGGAAGGATGCCACCTAGGGGGACCCCGTCCTGGGTCTCCAGGACTTAGGGGAACCGCTGGGCCTGGTGAGGGGGCGATGCTGGACAGGGAGCGGGGCCTAGCATGTGCCAGCCGCTGCCACTCCCTACAGATCGGACTTGGGAACGGGGACCCCTGGCCACCTCCCTGTCCACCCTCCAAGAGTTGTGGGTAGAAAATTCTGTGTCCCTACGAATCCTCTCAGAGTGGCCATTAGATCCTTTGAGAATCATTTAAAAACTTGCCCAGGTAAAAAAAAAACAACAAAAAGTGAATCATTTGAAAGGCAAGGTAGTTACGGCAGAACATACTTAAGCTTTATTTTTGCTTGCTTTCCTTGTCGTTTTATTACTCCTTATATCCTTGGATTTTTTTTTTTTTCCTGACCCCTGCGCCTGAGGGGCTTCTGGCTGGGTGGGCCCGAGGTGCGCCGGGGGCTCTCCCCCCAGCCCCGCAGCGGCATCCCCCTGCCAGCTCTGGGTGGCCACCGCTCAGAAGGTGCCCTGTGCTTGCAGGCGGGCGACTTCACCAACCACAATGGCACCGGGGGAAAGTCCATCTACGGAAGCCGCTTTCCTGATGAGAACTTCGCACTGAAGCACGTGGGACCAGGTGAGTGGCGGCGGCCGTTTCCCAGTCGGAAAGCCCTGCGCTTTGACCAGCCGCCACCATGCCTCCCACGCCTGGGAGGTTTGCCGTCCGACCATTGCTCGCTCCATATCCGGCGACACGCCTCCCTGCCTTCAGCACTCGGGGGTGGGGTGCTGGGTTTTCCTGGAGCTTTTTCATTCTGAGCTCTCAGTTTGAAAACCAAGCCTTTCTTTGAGAAGCAAAACCCAGCCTCGTGTCATGTTGGAGACCCAAGAGGCAGCCTGCAAAAGGCCTGTTCTGGTTCCGCCTCTCCTCCCTGTGGCAGCATAGGTGGACAGGCCCTGGGGAGCTGGTCGCCCTCTGGGCCCGCTTCTGCTCTTCCAGCTCCAGGATCTTCAGACTTAAACATCTTTGCCAGGGTGTGAACTGTCCGCTCTTTAGAATGACTTCCCTGGTGAGCCGCCTCCTGGGGCAGCACGGCTCACTCCTGCTTATTTTTGCAGGTGTCCTGTCCATGGCGAATGCGGGCCCCAACACCAACGGCTCCCAGTTCTTCATCTGCACCATAAAGACAGACTGGTGAGTTCCCTGCTCCTGGCTCCTGGGGGGTGGCCTCGCAGCGAGAGGAAGCGTTGTGTGCTTCTGAGGGGAAGGTCGTGTGAGGCCGGACTGTGCCCTGGGACAGTAGGCCTCTCCTGGGCTGTGTGTCTGTGTGGGAGAAGGATAAAGTTCATGGAAGGACTAAGGGAGAATTTGGGGTGTTCTTGGAAGTGTGTCTTTATCGGGTTTTCATTGTTGCTGTCAGCTGGGATTTTCTCCATGCGTCGTGCACACACGCACAAGAGGACTTTTACCAAACATGCTTGGGAAAATGCAGCAGAACTTCTCAGGCCTCAAGATGGCCTGTGGTAGAAGCCTATTTGCTTAGTTTAGCCTGTTGTTTCCCGGTTTCACGTCAGGCCTGGAACGGACCCTGGAGCCCTCTTGCCCACATGCCCATGGATTTTAGGGGTGTCTTCCCTGCTGGATTACCCACCACCTAATAAGTTCCTCTGCCCAAAGCCCGCCTGTGTCCCAGCCCTGAGGCATATAGGGTCAAGGGAACAATAGCTGGCCTGGAGCTAAGACTTAATAAAGCCCATTTCCTAGGACTTTAGGGAGACCTGAGTGGTGGGTGGATACCAGCCATCTCTAACCCCCAAGCCGGAAGGGACATAGATGTCCTTCCGGGCTGAGCAGGTCTCTGCTGGCCTTGCCTACTCTTTGCTCCTTCCATGAAACCCCTTCGTTACTGCCCTTGGGGGGTAGCCAGCGGTGGCCTTGCTGGCACTGACCGAGCTCTCTTTTGAATCCTTGGAACTCTCAAATCAAGAGCCTCTCGGAACTAATTTTCACCACGCTCGTTATCCCAGCTCTTAGCTTGCCACTCGTGACCGTACACGGACCTCTCATTTCGTGGGAGTGGTTCGATAACCCCGTTACCTCCCTGTGCCGGACAAGAATAGTTCACCTTTCATAGGTGAAGTTACCAGGATTCAGGTTAAGTGGCCCAGGGCAACCCGGCGTGCGAGGCAGAGCATATGCCCTGGAAGGGAGACCTCCGGTGTATTTTGGGGAGCTCGGCAAGGCTTGATACCGGAGCTTCGAGGGGGTGGGTCCAGATTCTCAGCGCGGGCTCCCTACACAGTTGCTGCCTTTGGTACAGAGTTCCCTGCCCAAGTGACCGCGATGTTGGGTGACACCGCACTACCTCTCGCTCTTACCTGACTCAACTCACAGGTTGGATGGCAAGCATGTTGTGTTTGGCCATGTCAAAGAGGGCATGGATGTCGTGAAGAAAATAGAATCTTTCGGTTCCAGGAGTGGGAAGACGTCCAAGAAGATCGTCATCACAGACTGCGGCCAGTTGAGCTGAGGTGCCATGACCAGGGCGCGAGGCTGGCGGCAGCTGCACGTGCCTGGGCTCCCCTGGGGGCCGCCTCGGGCTCCAGCAGACTTGTCTGTCCTTGTTGCACGCCGCGGTGGGGAATGTCCGATCTCCACGGGGCCCACCGCACCGCTGCCCCAGGGTCCACCCTCCCTCGCCACCCCGTTTCTGGCCATCCATCACAGACGTGATGCCATCAGGCCTTACCCGTGATCCCCCAGCCCACGCTCACCTGTGCCTTGGACATCGGGGGGTGCCGAGGGGTTAGCTTCGGGTACAGGTTTCTGCCTTTTCCTTGACCGAGGGGGAAAGGCAGCCGCTGCAAAAGGGCCGCTGTATCTGTTGAACATCCTCTTCTGATTGGAATAATTTAATTAACAAGATGGACTGGAGATGAAGCTGTGACAGCCCTCTAAGCCGTGGTATGACCTCACTTGGTGGCGGAAGCCACAGAACCCTGGAGCTTGGCCTTTGGAACGTAATCGGGGCTTTTGCGAAGGGTCCTCGGCCAAGGCCTTTTATCCCAGCCACTGTGAATCCTGTTGGTTCGCCGCCGCGGTTTCTGAGGAGAGTCCGTGAGGGGAGAAGCAGACAAACCCGGGACAAACCCACTGCGAGCTGTGCCTAGTCGATGAAGTCGGGGAGAGTGGAAATGGCGTGTGCGTGCCTGGTGCTCGGGAAGACTGTCAACGTGTATTTTCCGGAGGGCTTCGATTTTTCTGTGTTTAACAAATCTGATGATGTATATGATACACCTTTGGGGCTTTTATTTGTGTTCACTTTAAATGTGAAAATAAATCCTATTTTCTATAAAAGATCGTCTGGTGGCTTTAGGAAGCAGCGTTTATCATCACCCCAGCAGCCACGGAGGGTCCCAGCGTCATCCTTATAGATGGCATGGGCTCAGACATGGGCTCTTAGCACCCACGGGCTATCTGCGAGCACTGGTGTTGCCCCGAACCCCAGCCCTACCTCTTGGCCACCCCGAGTCTGTTTTCCTCTGCTGTATAACGTGGTAACAGTGATGCTGGGCTCACAGAATGGGGAGAGTCGGATGCGATCTGTGTCAAGTGTGTAATGTGGCACCAGGCACATCGCTGTAATAAACACTCTCACCAGCACGATGACATCGTCCATGTGTCAAAGTCTTAGGGAAGAATCTGTGAAAATGTAAAGCTAGGTGTGGACTTCATCATCCTAGATTTGCCATTTAGATGTGGAATTCTAGGTGTTTCTGAAGTCACGGGGATGGCAGATTGGGGGTGAGAGAGAAGGATTAAGAACTCAAACAGCCAGAGATGGAACATTCTGGATAACAGAATAGTCACATTCCGTTCGCAGCGTGATGGAGTTATTTCGTCTTGGGGTTCCTACAGTCTGTCATGTGTGCTCCCTGTCATTCTGAGGTCACAGTGGCTGGAGTTGGGTCGTTTGGAGTCATGGAGGGTTTTCCTGATGTCAGTTTCCATAGTTCGGCTGCGTGTTTTGGGAGCTTAGCTAGCCTAGCAGTGTTTAAACAATTTTCAAGAGCTGTAGGGGCCCTCCGCTGTACGGGGAGACCAGGGATGTGGGCCCCTGAACCCCATTTTCAGGCAGATGGCTTTTTTTCTTATTGGAGCTCTGCAAGGGGTTTCATTTGAAGGATGGGCTCTTGAGCCAAACAGTATTCGTGATAACGGTGATGATGATAATAATTGGTCCACAAGCCAGTCCCGACATTTTATAAGTGGGTGAACTGAGGCCGTGAGTGGGGTCACGATTCTCCAGGTGGCCCTGTGAATCCGCTGACAGAGCAGGGGCTAGAAATTCAGACTCGCCAATCCAGAGGGTTCTCTGTCGGGGGGCCTCTCAGAATGCACAGGCCCGTTGGTCCTCAGGTCCCCGCATTCAGAGTTCTTGTGACTTCTGAGGTCAAAGCCACAACTTTTTTTGTCCCTGTGGAGCCTCCTCTTGACCTCTGAGGACTCCAGGGAGGCAAGGGTGTGTCAACAAGTTTGAAAGGCAGGCCCCTTGAGTTGTGACCTGCTGGCCCCATGGTGATTTCTGAGGGGTCTCAGGTCACAGAGCCTGTGGGGCTCGTGTTTACTTCACAGAGACTTTCCTTTTCTGTGAGGGGGGAGTGAGCGAATGAGGGGTGTGTGTGCGCGCGCGTGCACACGCGTGCACGCACGTACACGTCCATCCAGAGGAGTCTGGTGTGGGGCAGGGGAGTGGAACGTGAGAATTTCCTAAAACCAGTTTCCTGAAGGTGGGGCCGCTCGCTCAGCTCTCTTGCGAGCACCTTGCCCAAGGGCCCGTGCCTGGTCTTACTGTATAAAGCGGGAGCCTGAGCAACACACAAACAAGATGGTGACTCGCTGACACGTGTCACCCAATGCGTGAACGACGTGGTGAGTCACACGCGTGCTCTCAGACGTCATCGTGTGACACCACGGAAGCACAACGTGTTTAATCATCCGCGATGGCATTTTTCTGAGGCACCACATGACAGCTTTTCAAAAGGACTTCACTGAGGTAGAATTCACGGAGAACCAAATTCACACATTTTCAGCATAAAGCTCGATCGCTTTGGGCAAACGCGCACACCGAACTAAGTCCTAGAACGTTCCCATCTCTCCAGAGAGTCGCCCCCCCACCCCCACCCCGTGCGCCTTCCCAGGCAACCCCTGAATCCCGTCACTGTAGATTAATCCTGCCTATTGCAGGACTTGGTACCTATGGAGTCACGCAAGGCTTACTTTCTGTGCCCGGCTACTTGCGTGGAGCACGCGGGAGAACATGGGAGAATGTAACACACTTCTGGACTCCAGTATGTTGCCCCGTGAAAAGGAATGTCTGTAAATGTTTCCCGGGTCAGGTGAGGCCTAAAGCAATGCTACTGGGAGTGCTGGGGCGCTGGCCAAACACACAGAGCCCTGGGCCACACCTGAGACCTACTGGATACAAATCTCTGTGGGTGGGACCTAGGAATCGGAATGTTAAAGTAATTCTAAAGTCTGAGAATCTGAGCAGAGGCCAGGGTGGGCAAGATTCAAAAGCAAACCACTAGACCATGAGAGTCATTGGTTACTTCTGGAAACGTTTCTTGCTGGAAGCTCTGGGAATCTGGAGTGAGCCCTCTACTTTAACTCTCAGATGATGAGGTGGCGGTCGCCTGTTTGGCCCAAGCTTTGTGGGCTGCTGTTCCTCCATAATGCTGGCAGAAGGGGCTTCCCGACTTGGCAAGGTGCCTCCTACTCAGCTTGGCAAGGTGCCTCCTAGGGGAGGACCCCTGTGTGGTGGCCCTCAGCTCTTCTTTGTCATTAGGAGGAGGGTCTGGCGTGGGTGGGTCCAGACTGGAGAATATTTCTCAGTGAGTGGCTTCAGGGAGCCAGAACTCAGCTGGGCGTCCAGGGCCACTGGAACAGGACATGTAGAGAAAGTCTTGTCACCACTGTGCCTCCCAGATCAGTCTCAGCCTTAAGAGGTTGTCCAGAATTATGATGGTATTATTATTATTATTGTTAGTACAACATTGTAATGGCTAATTTTGTTTCAACTTGTCTGGGCCATGGGATGTCCAGACAGTTGGTCAAGCATTATTCTGGGTGTGTCTGTGAGGGTGTTTCTGGAGGGGATTAACACTCCCATTGGTAGACTGAGTAAAGCAGATTGCCCTCCCTGGTGTGGGTGGGCCTCGTCCAATCAGTTGAAGACCAAGACGGAACCAAAGGCTAAGTAAGAGGAACTCGTCCTGCCTAACTGTGCTGGAACGTGAGCCTTCTGCCTCCCAACTGAAATATCTACTCTTCTTGGGGCTCGAGTCTGCTGGCCTGTGGACCAGAGCTTACACATCAGTGCTCTGGGCTTTCAGATCTTCAGACTTGGACTAGAATTACACCCACAGTTCTTCTGGGTCCCCAGCTTGCCAACTGCAGATCTTGGAACTCCTCAGCCCCCATAATTGTGTGAGCCAATTCCTTATAATAAATCTCATTTTACATATACATACACGTGTGCGCACACACACACACACACACACACACATGCTGTTGGTTCAGTTTCTCCAAAGAATCCTGACTCTTCTACTTATAAAACCAAAATACACTTGTGAAAATTCAAATGTTACATAAATATAGAATATAAAGAAATTATTTTAAGTTTTATTTATTTAATGTCTACACTCAACGTGGGGCTTGAACTCACGACCCCGAGATCAAGAGTTGCATGCTCTACCAGCTGAGCCAGCCAGGCACCCCTATAATATAGAGAATTTACATCACCCGTAACCTTATCATATTAATAGTATGGGCTTCTGCATTTGCTTAGGATATAGAACACTGCAGAAACCTTCCTGTCCTAACAGTAATAAAAAGATGAGTACACTATAAAGACATGACTTTTCTTGAGTTCATCAGAAAGGCAACTAGGTAATCTAAGGAGAGAGGGCAGCCAAACCATCCTGCCTGTGGCAGAGCGCTGCAAAAAGATTTGGCCACAAAACCAGTGAGTAAGATGAAATCAGGTAAAAATTTTACTGAGTTGCTAAGACAAAGAAGGACTAGTTTGTCTGGAAGGGCTAGGGGCCCTCCACCCAGAGCGAGTTTGCGTTCCCTTCCAGGATCTTTTCCCTAGACCTTCACTGCTCAGGAGAAGGGCCCCTGAGACCCGCCTTGCTGAGGCGGACCTGCAGTGATCTTCAGCTCCTGGCATGGATCCTTGCTCACTTCCTCAGATATTCTCCTATGAAGCATAATTCTGAATCCACCAGTGGAAGGGCCGTACTCCCTTCATCTCCAGGGAAAAGTAAAAGCTCACCATGGCTGGGGGAAAGGTAGAAGAAAAAAAATCCCATAACCCTCTGGGAGTGGCAAGAAACCATCCAGGGCCCAAGAACCCATACCGGTTAGCAAGCAGAAATCAGCTACCACTGGGAAGGAACAAACACACACCCAAGACATGCCTAAGACTGAAGCCAGACCGGGATAACAGCATTCCTGGCCCCACTCCAAGCATAGTCTACTGCTAGGGGAGGAGGAAAGGCATGGAGAGAGATAACCTTCTGTGTTGCACAAAGCTGGAAGTGGAGTACGAGCACGGAGGAAAACCCTTCTGCACCTTCTGCACCCCTGCTTTGCCACAAGCAGAGTTGGCCCCCAGTACAGGAACCTGCACCTGTGGGGCCCCAAAGGTAAGAACAGCAACAACAAAACCTAGGCCCAGCTCAACTCCGGACGACATCCACTAATGTCCCACAATAGACTTGAACCAAGAAGCCGCATGGCCACTTCCCAGAGTGCACACTATACTGCTGTACCCTCTATCGCACGAAGAATGTGCATCATTCAAGGCAAAGACGCTGTTAATAAACAAAGCAGTCGAGGGGCGCCTGGGTGGCGCAGTTGGTTAAGCGTCCGACTTCAGCCAGGTCACGATCTCGCGGTCCGTGAGTTCGAGCCCCGCATCGGGCTCTGGGATGATGGCTCAGAGCCTGGAGCCTGTTTCCGATTCTGTGTCTCCCTCTCTCTCTCTGCCCCTCGCCCGTTCATGCTCTGTCTCTCTCTGTCCCAAAAATAAATAAACGTTGAAAAAAAAAATAAAAAAAAAAAAAGAAAAAGAAAACAAAGCAGTCGATAGAACCAGGCTCAGATATAACCGTCCCAGATGGGAACATTAAAACAACTGTGATTAATATGTTAAAAGTATCTAGTGGGAAAGATGGACAACATGAACAGATGGGAACCAATTTTAGCAGAGAGAAATTGTAAGAAAGAGTTTAGTGGTGATACTACAAGAAAAAAATATATACCAAAAATGATACCCAAAACGGAGAAGTCCT